TGGGGAATTGAACAAAGACCTCCTGGTTCACAGGTCAATGCTCAACCACTGAGCCACGCAAGCTGGGCTTAAATATGTTTTTATTGATTTTAGAGAGAGAGGAAGTGGGGGGGACATCGTTGAGAGAGAAACATTGATTAGCTGCCTCCTGCAGGCGCCTCTTGGGGATCGAGCCCACAACCCAGGCATGTGCCCTAACTGGGAATCGAACTGGTGGCATGGGAGGATGCTCAGTCAACTGAGCCACACTGGCCAGGCGCCCCTGCTGTTTTTATTCCTCCTTCGGCTATCCAGTTATCAGGCTAATGACCAGTGGAGAATGAGGCTGTCACCTGGGAACTCTGTGAATGCTGTGGCTTCCTGGTGAATCAGGCTCAATGTCTAATTCAGCTCCCTAATGAATTAAGCTTAATGGTCAATTCCATTTGCTCTCTTCCTAACTAACTAGCTACCTGTGCTAATAGTTATACTAACCAAATCCTATTTATCTTCATAGCCAGTGGAAGTGCCATTTTGAGGATCTCCTAGACTCTCAACCTGTGGGTTGCGACCCCTTTGGCGGTTGAACGACCCTTTCACAGGTGTCACCTAAATACATCCTGCATATCAGACATTTACATTATGATTCATAACAGTAGCAACATTACAGTTATGAAGTAGCAACAGAAATAATTTTATGGTTGGGTCACAGCATGAGGCACTGTATTGAAAGGGCCAGAAGGTTGAGAACCACTGAGGACCTAGAGTGTCTGAAGCAGCCAGGATTTCATTATTTGTGCCTCTACTAAAAGCAGCAATGGCACCCTCAGATTGATCACTTAGACGTGCAAGCTCCAAGCACTAAGTGCCATCCATGAGTCAGCTCTTTGATTCTCCCTCAATCCCGAGAGGTTTATATTGGTATCTGACTTTCCTGATGAGGAACCCGAGGTTTAGGAAACATCGACTGGCTGCCTCCTGCATGCCCTCTACTGGGGATGGAAGCCACGAGGAAGGATGTGCCCTGACCAGGAATAGAACCGGCAACCTCTTGGTGCACAGGATGACGCCCAACCAACTGAGCCACACCGGCCAGGGCTAAACCTGTACATAATTTTTATATTTTATTTGAGCCAAACTGACAATTGGCAGATAGTAAGATGCTCAAGATAAGTGACAGTTTGCAGTTTCTTTTATGCATTTGGAATTAGGGAGGGGTTAAAGGAAGATTAGGCGAAGGTGGGAGAAAGCAAAGCGGGGATCAGATTCCAGGACAATTAACAAGATGAGGCTCTCTCGAGGGTGGTTACACCTCGGAGGGGTACCGCTTCTGACATTTCAAAGGCGTTAGACTGGATGCACAAGAGCAATGGGCAGGAATTTGTAGCTTATTAAAGCACCCCTTTTTCCCTTTTTCGTCCACGGTATCAAGATGTCCTTGTTGACATCTGCCAGATTCCTGTTCTGTTGCTTTCCTTTGCCTTGTTCGTGATGATGTATCACACCTGAGAACGATAGTTGTTTAAGGTCAGGCTTTAACACAGTGGTTCTCAACCTTCTGGCCCTTTAAATACAGTTCCTCATGTTGTGAGCCAACCATAAAACTATTTTCGTTGCTACTTCATAACTGTCATGTTGCTACTGTTATGAATCTTAACATAAATATCTGATATGCAGGATTAGGCAACCCCTGTGAAGGGTCGTTAAACCGCTGCTTTAACAGTTCAAAGCCGAGAAGTCAGGAAAGGATCACCATTTCTGAAGAAGTGACAAGCTTGTTGTCCAGCTTGTTTTTCCGTTCACCAGAGGTGGCAGTGGGTGCTGATGGAGAGGCCCACTGGGCAACGGGCTCCAATTCCCCTTCCTCTTTGAACCCAGGAAGTGAGAATCCCTAGCAAGAGGTGTTATATAAGTAAGTTCTTTGTCTGTTTGGGCTGGGTGGCTTATAAACAGGAGACATTTATTTCTCACAGCTCTAGAGGGTGGGAAGTCCAAGATCCAGGACATATGAATGGGAGGGGAGAGACCTAGCAGTGAGTTCTCATCACTTTCTAAAGCAAGCGTGTCAAATTCAAAGGCTAACGTGGGCCACAGAACAAGGTTTAAGTTTATGGGGGCCGCAAAAAACACAAAAGCTTCAATAGAAACGTGGGTTTATTTCAATAGACATGCTGAATACAAAGGGCTGTAATAAATGAGTAATCATTACAGAATTTATAGAATTGCAAGAGACAGGCTGCATGCTTGCCTATGGATAGGAGCTGTGAGCAGGATTGGGGCTGTGAGACCCAGATTTGGAGGGCACCCTAATCCTACTCGCAGATGTTATATTTAGATATTTAGTAAATATGACTAGCCGGTAACAGGTTACTCAACAGGTCTCAGCTCCCCTATCTGTAAAATGGAGATCATGAGACGCACTGTCCCGGACTGTGGAAAAGATTCAATGAGATATGAGTGTAATCTTTCTGGCACTTAACAGGGACTTAGTGGACAGCAGCTGTTAGTCTTACCATTTTAATTTTACACAGAGCTCTTTGCAGCGGTTCTCAACCTGGGGATTGAGACCCCTTTGGGGGTTGAATAACCGTTTCATGGGGGTCGCCTAAGACCATCGGAAAACACACATATAATTACATATTGTTTCTGTGATTAATCACTATGCTTTAATTATGTTCAATTTGTAACAATGAAATGGGGATCACCACAACATGAGGAACTGTATTAAAGGGTCGCGGCGTTAGGAAGGTTGAGAACCGCTGCTTTAGAGCTTGTTCAGATGATTGAACATGATAATAACCGACGAATGCTGCCCTCAGCAGATGCAGATCTGTGGCTCCAGAGCGGATCCTGAGAAGTATCTCTAGGCTCTCGGCCGATGTCTTGGCAGCGCCTTGATCTGAAGATGTCACCCCGGGTGCTGTGGGGCAGCCTCAGCCTGCTCCGCCTGGTGTGGTGTGTCCTTCCACAGACAGGCTACGTGCACCCAGATGAGTTCTTCCAGTCACCGGAGGTCATGGCAGGTAAAGCGCCCCGTGTGTGGCTGTGATACGTCCCAGCAAAGTCTGGGTTGGAGCTGGTTGGATGTCCAGGGGGAGGGAGACACATGGCTGGGCGGATGAGCAGAAAACCAGTGAGCCCCGCCGGGGTGAGAACTTGTGAGTGGGGACCTCACATCTCCTTCCTGAGAGTGACACCGACCTTCTGGATGATACTCATGAAATGCCGGCCTCTTTGGTGTTTTCCTGTTTGGACCAACAGTAGAGGTTACTGAAAAGAAAAGCTGTTTGGTATTTCTCGGGGAAGGATTTGAGTTGGGCTTCTGCCGGGGTCTTTGTTCTGGCATTAAGAAGGGTTCAGCAATCTGGAGAAGGGCTGTGTGTAATCAAGAGTCCAGAGACGAAGTATAATTTTGAAAGGCATTTGGGGGTCAGAGGAGCCTAGCTAAAGGAACTAAGATCTCCTTGTCTCAGGACCCCATGCTTTTTATTAACGCAATTTGTCCTGAGGCGAGGTGGAGATATACACTTCAAGGTGAAGGATTTCATATACAGAGTCCATTGTCAGAATTGAAGAATTAGCCTACAGCTGTTCAGGTGTTTGGCCAGTAGGAGGCAATAACATGTAGATTAAGATGCCCTGAGCTGTCTGGCAGCAAGCAATCAATTTAAGCATCCTTCTCAGGTTTGGGGAAATGCCCTTGCCACTCCAGATCCAGCCCTGCTGGCATGCTGGAATTGGCTTCCGGCAGGCTTCCTCAGTGCGTGGGAAAACTTACACAGAGAGGAAGGGAGGAGAGAGAGATAGAAACATCAATGATGAGAGAGAATTATTGATGGGATGCCTCCTGCACACCCCACACTGGGGATCCAACCCAAAACCCAGCATGTGCCCTGACCAGGAATTGAACCGTGACCTCCTGGTTCATAGGTCAACACCCAACCACTGTACCACACTGGCCCAGAAGCCTTTCTTTGTAAATGTGATCTGGTCCCTCTGCAAGGGCAAAGCCCTCCTCACAGGATGGAGAGCAAACCCCACGCCAGACCAGCACCTGTTGCTTCGATGGAAGCCATTGCACCCCTGAGCATGTTGCTCCCAACACAGGTACCCTCTACCCAGTCTGCCGGGAACCTTTTCTTCTGTAGTTTCATATGAGGGCCGAGGGAACCCAGACCTGGATGCTTCGTTGCTAAAATTTATCTACCAGGTGGTGTGGAGCACTTCATGAGGACGGTTGCTAGGGACCGGAAGGGTTCTCAGATGCTGGGGACATGGCTTCCTCCTCTCGGTTCCATATGGCTGCTTGAGCTCCAGCCGACAAGTCTTTCCAGCCACTGATGGGCATGCCTGCGTTCTTCCAGGGCATTTTTGAAAGTCTCATACCATCTCCATCCCATCAGTCAGAATGTGTCACATGGCAACTTTGAGCCTGCAAAGGAAGCTGAAAAATATAGCCTTCAAACCTGACCAAACGTCCCACTGAGGAAGGAGGAGGGAGTGGATACTGGGGAGACTATTTAGCTATTTCTGCCACGTGGCTCAACGCTGGATTTAACTTGAAAGGTCCAGTCTTCCTCTCCACACTTTTTTAAAAACCAGAGCCAGTGCCGAAACCGGTTTGGCTCAGTGGATGGAGCGTCGGCCTGCGGACTGGGGGGTCCCAGGTTCGATTCCAGTCGGGGGCATGTGCCTTGGTTGCGGGCACATCCCCAGTGGGAGATGTGCAGGAGGCGGCTGATTGATGTTTCTCTCTCATCGATGTTTCTAACTCTCTATCTCTCTCCCTTCCTCTCTGTAAAAAATCAGTAAAGTATATTTAAAAAAAAAAAAAGAGTCTGCTTCCTGGCAATTGTCAATAGATTGGCTCAAATAAACTCGCAAAATTGTTAAAAAAAAAAAAAAAAAAAAAAACCAGAGCCAGTGAAAAGCAGCCAGATTGAGCTGATCCTAGCTTTTCTGTTTCCCTTTAGAAATATAGAGAGAGAATGGCTAAAAGGCTGGAGGAATAAGTAGGAGAAACAGAGAGCCCTAAACAAAACCAGCAATGTCGTCGAGCATCAGAAGCTGTGGGCCTGAGTTTAGGTGCAGAAATGAAGTGTTTGTTTCCTTCACCCCACCCCTCAGAGCTCTGGGACATGGGGTGCAGGATCACAGGCCAGACTCAGGCAGCGAGTATTCTTTTAATGACACAAGTACAGCTTGAATATATTCTTCTTATGAAAAATTTAAATATCACAGACAAATCTAAAGTCCCTTTGACCATAGTCACCTTTCCCTTTCTCACACTGCCTATCCTGGAACACAGTCATAATTACAGAGATGGGGTTTTTTTAATCTCACTTTGGAGACTTTAAACTCTGAGGAGAGGAATGGACCTTCCCCCTGATCCTCCCCATACACCCTGTCCAGGGCACATTGTCACCTCACACCCCAGGAATGGTTCCTTCCCGGGGGGGGGCCTCAGACGGGCTGGACTCCCCTACGTTCATTTCTAGTGCTGCATAACCAATCATCACAAACCCCGCAGCTTAAAACTGTCAGGGCACCGCTCTGTAAATTCTGTAAATTGGGAGTCCGGCATGGACTCTCTGCTCAGGGCATCACAGGGTTGAAATCAAAGTATGGCCGGGCCGAGTTCTCGTCTGGAAGCTCTGGGGGGAAATCTGCTTTCCAAGCTCATTCTTTTTTTTTTTTTTTAATATATTTTATTGATTTTTTTACAGAGAGAAAGGGAGAGAGATAGAGTTAGAAACATCGATGAGAGAGAAACATCGATCAGCTGCCTCCTGGACACCCTCCACCGGGGATGTGCCCACAACCCAGGTACATGCCCTTGACCGGAATCGAACCTGGGACCCTCCAGTCCGCAGGCCGACGCTCTGTCCACTGAGCCAACCTGGTTTTGGCCAAGCTCATTCTTTATGTTGGAAGAATTTCGTTTATTTCAGCCCTGGGACTAAAGCCCCCCCTTCCTTGCTAAATGTCAGTCAGGGGCTGGTCTCGGCTCCTAGATCACGCCTTCCAATGGCCCCCTCCATCTGAGACCGCAAGGGTGCATCAACTCGTTCTAACAGTTTGAATCTCTGACGTTCTCTTCTGCTTTTAAAGGGCGCGTGTGATTATGTCAGGCCCATCTGCATTATCTCCCTGTCTGATGTTCTGTTGTCCTCTGTGACATAAAGTGATCACAAGAGGAAAATCCATCATCTTCACAGCCCCCGGGTTTATCCGGGGAGTGTACACTAAGGGGCTGGAAGATCCAGGTGGCCATCCTGAAGTGTTATTGTCTCCCGTGTTCTCTGACCTTGGGACTGGCTCACCCCCACCTCTCTCCGCAGAGGACATCCTGGACGTCGAGGCCGCCCGGCCCTGGGAGTTTCATTCTAGCAGCGCCTGCCGCACGGTGGTCTTCCCGCTGCTGACCTCTGGCTTTGCCTTCTGGCTGCTCAAGATCTGGAAAGAACTGGGCCCGTGGCCTGGCCTGGTGAGCGGCTATGCGCTGCTGGTGGGGCCCCGGCTCCTCCTCACTGCCCTCTCCTTTGCCCTGGACATGGCCATCTACCACCTGGCCCCGCTGTGGAGGGCGGAGCGCTGGAATGCCCTGGTCTTGCTGTCTGGTTCCTACGTCACCCTGGTCTTCTACACAAGGACCTTCTCCAACGCCATCGAGGGACTGCTCTTTGCCTGGCTGCTGGTACTGGTATCGCCCCGTGTGGCTCCGAGCCCCGCACCCGGGAAGCCCGCTCGAGGCTCGTGGTGGCACAGCTGGCTTCTGGGGACCATCGTGGCTGCCGGCTTCTTCAACCGGCCCACCTTTCCGGCCTTCGCTCTGGTTCCCGTGTTCCTCTGGGGCATTTGTGGGGCCACGAACTCTGCCTTCAAGTCACTGACCAAGGCAGCCCTGGGGCTCCTCCCAGGCGCGACCCTCACAGCAGCAGTGTTTGTGGCTGCGGACAGCTGGTATTTCTCCAGTCCGTTTACCAAAAGACCCAATACCCTTGTCCTGACACCTGCCAACTTCTTGCAGTACAACCTGGATCCTCAAAACCTGGAGAGGCACGGAACGCACCTGCGGCTCACCCACCTGGCCGCCAATGGCTTCCTGCTCTTCGGGACGCTGCATGCCCAGGCCCTGCGGGCGGGGTGGCACCAGCTGCGCGTCTGCCGCCAGGTCCTGGTACAGATGCACTCCCTGAGGGTGTGGGATGCCCGGAGACTGCTGCCCGGCCCCAGCTCTCACCTCCTGCTCCTCTACTTCACGCCCCTAGCACTGCTGTCTGCTTTTAGCCACCAGGAGGCTCGGTTCCTGATCCCCCTTCTGGTCCCCCTGGTCCTGCTCTGTAGTCCACAGACTCAACCTGTGCCCTGCAAGGGCACCCTGGTCCTCTTCAATGCCCTGGGCGCCCTCCTCTTCGGCTGCCTGCACCAGGGGGGCGTCGTGCCCGGCCTGGAGCACCTGGAGCGGGTGGTTCATGCGCCTGTGCTCCCGAACGTACCTACCCACTACACACTCCTCTTCACCCACACCTACATGCCCCCGCGGCACCTCTTACACCTCCCAGCGCCGGGGTCACTCGTGGAGGTGATGGAAATGGGTGGGTCTGAGGATCCGGTCCTGTGCCAAACCCTGAACAACTTCACCCGACAACCGGCCTGCCAGGTGGCCGGTGGGCCGTGGCTCTGCCGCCTTTTTGTGGTGACGCCCGGCACCACCAGGCCTGCCACGGAGAAGTGCAGCTTCCCCCTCAAGAGTGAGACCCTTGTGTTTCCCCACTTGACCCTTGAGGACCCACCGGCCATGTCCTCCCTGCTGAGCGGGGCTTGGAGGGACCATCTCAGCCTTCACATCCTAGAGCTGGGGGAGAAGCCGGACAACACGACAGAGAACCCGTGGCTGTAGATGACGACCCCACCCCACCTTCTCTTTGGGAAGCTGGGCTGGGGCAGAGTCTGGCTCTCTCCCGTTCCCTTCCCATCCAGAATGCCCACCCCTGCCTCTCCTGTCCACAGCCCTTGCTTTACTTTCTGGGGAATCTGGCACCCTTCTCCCCTCAAAGACCAAAGATCTGGCCAGTCACAGCCCTGATGCCAAGGCCCGGATGCCCCCAGAGGATCTGGTATAACCAGTCGGTCCCTAATGTTGGTCCCTGCCCTATTCCTTCCAGAAACTGTGATGTTTGAAATATATAATAGCACCTTGTTGTGAAGAACGGCGATCTGAGAGTGACATTCTTGCCTGACCTCCAAACCTCCAGGATGCCTTACCTCTTGATGTCATGACAACCCTTTGCTTCTTAAACACCTGAAGGGGGGCGGTGTGGGGATGGAGAGGGAGTAGGCAGTGCAGATTCAGGGGACCTGAGTTCTAGTCCCTGGTCTGCCATTCACTGTGTGATCTTAAGAAAGCTCCTTCCTCTCCCCAGCCTGTTTCTAGCCTGTACAATGGATCAGAGCATCTCTGAGGTGTCTGCCAGCTAACACCGAGTCATTCCTGGGTCTGCAGCACATGTCCCCTGGCTAGACAGGCACGTCTCTCCCAAAGCTCTTTAAGCATGGAAGTGAGTGTGGTGGTATAGTTAATTGCACTTTGGCGTCTGCCGTCTTAGTGTTTGTTTGTTGTTGTTGTTTTTTAAATTAAAAAAAATATTTTTATTGATTTAAGAGAGAAAGGGAGGAGAGAGAGAGATAGAAACATCAATGATGAGAATTATTGATGGGATGCCTCCTGCACACCCCACACTGGGGATCCAGCATGTGCCCTGACCAGGAATTGTGCCATGACCTCCTGGTTCATAAGTCAACACCCAACCACTGTACCACACTGGCCAGGCTGTTGGTTCTTAACCAAAAAAGTAGTTCTGGAATATTTCTCTCCACTCCCTTCTACTCCTGTCCCTGAACAGTAGTGGGACATTTCAGCATCTCATCCTTTATGGATCATTCTCCCTCTAGGGATCATGTCCCCTCCTCAGCCTGGCCCAGTGAGAGTGGAGAACACAGTGCTCAGTCAGCATCTAGCAGCCCCTGAGGATACACAGGTGCTCCCAGAAGCCTTTCTTTGTAAATGTGATCTGGTCCCTCTGCAAGGGCAAAGCCCTCCTCACAGGATGGAGAGCAAACCCCACGCCAGACCAGCACCTGTTGCTTTGATGGAAGCCATCGCACCCCTGAGCATGTTGCTCCCAACACAGGTACCCTCTACCCAGCCCACTGGGAACATGAGGAACTGTGGCTCTACACCTGTCCTCACCCCCCTCCTCACCTCTGCCGTCTCATGAGAACAAGAGGCAGACAGGCCACAGAGATCGATGAGCTGGAGGTCAGCACAGAGCAGGAGGCCAAATCTGTACAAATGACCAAACCTGAGTCCTTTCCTAGTTCTGCCTTCTGCTGGCTGAAGCCTTGGGTCATCTTAAAGTTACACCCTTCACAAGTATGCTGTTCCATGACTGCTACTAGGGTCTTAGTGCCTCATCTTCCTCATGACTCTAACCCCAAGGAAGAGGAAATTTAGTGGTACACTGCTAAATGTGTAGCAATGTTCTCTCGGGGTGGGGGGGTGGGGGTGGGAAACAAAGTGCCCAATTTGTAGCATTTGCCATTTCTGTGGTGTCAATATTCCCACATGGCTGATTTCAAACTACTAAAATGATGTTACTGAACTCCAAGTTGGGAGGAGATGCCAAGCATCTACTCATGAAACAGTATAAGCTGGCCCCAGCACACTATCAGATTTAAACTCTAGAGACCCATTCATGACAACTCATTGTTCTTCTGGTTCATGTTTCTGCTATGAACCTCTCATTTGTCTTCCTACCCCTCAGTACTTAGCATCATCTCTGGCAAATGATAAAAGCACTTACTTTGCAGCCAAAGATGGCATTTCTGTCCATAAATATAAAACCAAGGGCCACCTTGGAGACATCCAAGACTCTAGGGTCCCAAACTCCTCTGGGCTTCTGCCTCTTCTCTTCCCCATTTGGGTCGACAACCATGAACTCCCTGGAGAAACTGCTGGTATGGCAGTCCATGTAGATTGTGGTGGTCTGAGCTCTAAATGTGTCTGTAAAGGGTGTGTATCCCTGCGGCATCAAAAGGTGAATTGGGCTGAAACCGGTTTGGCTCAGTGGATAGAGCGTCGGCCTGCGGACTGAAAGGTCCCAGGTTCGATTCCGGTCAAGGGCATGTACCTGGGTTTCGGGCACATCCCCAGTAGGAGATGTGCAGGAGGCAGCTGATCAATGTTTCTCTCCCATCGATGTTTCTAACTCTCTATCTCTCTCTCCCTTCGTCTCTGTATCAATAAAATATATTAAAAAAAATTTTTTTTTTAAAAAAAGGTGAATTGGAATTGCCCTGCAGGATGAGGGGATGAATTGCTTCCCTTTTAGGCAGAGCTTAGGATCTGAAAGGCATGCTAGGAGACTGTGTCAATGGGAAGAATTTGGTCCATTTTTTTTTCTTTTAAAAATGTTTTTATTGATTTTAGAGAAAGGAAGGGAGAGGGGTATATATCAACATCAATCAACTGCCTCCTGCACACCCCCTCCTGGGGATTGAGCCCGAAACTGGGGAATGTGCCTTGACTGGGAATCTCTTGGTTCATGGGTTGATGCTCAACCACTGAGCAATAGCAGGTCAGGCCTGGTCTGTTTCTTTAGTAACAGGGTAACTGGTGAGAAAGCAAGTCACAGACTACAAACACGGGAGGCATTTACAATGAAGTGGGGAGGCATCTAGTAGGAGCAGAAAGGACCCAGTTTTCTCTGCTCCCAGACTCCTTCTACAGAAATGAGGGTGCGCGTATGTGTGTGTGACTTAATTCTTATCCACTCCTTCCACAAAAATGAATTCTCTTGACTTCCCCTTCTCTTGATTTCCTTTCTTTCTTACTAAATGGCCAGTTTGTCTAGAAATTTCATTGTTTCCTGCACTTCCTCCCTTTTTGTCTCTTCTAGAAAAAAAACAGAGTATGGTATTTATGTTGAGGTATGGATTTGGGCTGGGGACCGCTAACATTGTGCTACTCTGATATCCAGAGACCGATGGGTGGGACTGAGGCCAATGAGGCAGACAAGACAGTAGACTGAACAAGCTCTTTGGTCTCATCACTGCCAGGGGCCAAGGAAAATCCAACGAATGGCCTCTAGTTGGGAGAACGATTTCTCCTCTGATGGGAGAGGAGGGGTAGGATGCCAAACCAGGACTTTGGTCATTAGGGGATGGGACCTCTGGCCTCAAGGAGGATTACACAGCACCTCTGATGGGAAGGCTGGGGGATGGGATGCCCAATGAGAAGTCTGACCATAAGGAAAGTGGAGGACAAGCTAGTTAGCTCCTCCATCCCCAGGGTAGGTCTCCAGCCCTCTCCAGCTTCCTGTGACTATCAGAAAAGCCAGAGTATAAATTCTGTTTGGTTACCCGCCAGTCTAAAAGCTTCTCCTGTGGCTTTGGGCTTTCTGATTGAATAACTGTGTTGCCTAACCAGAGGTGATCAGAAATTCAGTCGGAAGCCTCAAATGACCTGACCCTCTAAAACGGGAAACAGGAATCCAGGTAGCTTGCTACTGCGTAGGCAGCAGTCCTAACACCCAGCGGTGGCGTAAGGAGTGGGAAGGCAGGCATCGAAGATCAGGCCTGGAAAATGCCATGGAAAGCTGCGCATGGACTTGGGACCTGGAGTTAAGCACCTGTGTTCACATCCGGCTCCGTAAGGCCATGGGCAGCTTAAGTAGCCTCCCTTTCCCTATGAATGGTGAGGATTAAATGAGAGAACCCACTCAGAGTGCAATTGGCAGGTGCCAACACAGAGTAAGCACTCAATGTGTGTTAACAGATGATCCACCCTGCGGGTGGGAGAAGTACCACACTCATACCCGTTTCTCAGCTCGCACATTTAATCAGAGGGTTTGGCGTCTACTGCGTTGTCTTTCCATCCATGATCTCCGCTGGAAGCAGAGCCCCACTGCATCAGAGCAGAGGCAGCAGCATCCATCAGGAGTTTTAGTATCCTACGTGGAGGGCAGGCTCTCCTTCGGGCTGTGGCACGGTCCATGGCTCTTGCGGGTGGTGGGTCGGGGCCCAGCTTATCTTCATTTCTGTTGGGCTTCGGGGTTCCCTTCATTCACTGCCCCCGTCCGCTCTCAGGGCTCACCGCCTGTGCCCGCCTGGCCTGAGCTCTCTAATGCGTGGAGCTCTGCAGGCCGACAGGAGTCGGAGGAGAAGCCGTGCGCGGGGCTGGGGATGACTCCTTAGCGTCGAGGCCCGTGTCCAGCCGGAAGGGAGAGGGGCGACCTCGGTTAGTGGTTTGCTCCCGGGCCCCGCTGGCTACCTGGTGGTGGTCCCGGGCGCTCGCGGAGGCCGCGGCGGAGCTCCCGAGTGAAGGTGTCTCTGAAG